TCGGGCTTAATCTAAGAAACGTACCGAACATATTTATGCATTAGAAATTATGCTATAACTGCCGCTCTAATAGCGGCCTGTATAAAGGCTGTGCTGTGCTTTTCTGTTCACGTCATCACAGTAAATCGTGGGCATAGACAGGCTCTAAAAATAAAGGATAGCCTTGTGCTTACCTAAATGCTGTTCTTAAACTGAAAGCAAATACCTCTAAACAAAATTCATAGTTGGGAAATTGTCATGAAATTGGTTATCATTATAATTTCATGAGAGAGGAATAAATAAATATTTTAGGATGATATTTTACCAATATTACCGAGATTCTAGGAATGCCAAAACTGGAGTAAAACAACAGGATCACAGGGTACATACTGATGTGCACAAACATCATTCTTCCATATACAGATAATGAACGAAAGTTTAACATGCGAAGGAATTAGCTTGAATATATGAAATGCTTGATTCTCAAAACTGGACAACATACATTTTTAGAATAACGTATACAATTGTAAGCCTGAATCGATGAAACATAGAAGCAAATACAACAATAACTTGGAATTTGAATACCGTCGTTTAAAGTTTAAACCGCACAATATTCGTCAATGATCGAAAAATATGTACACGCAGGAGGGGGGGGGGGGGGCATTCATCTCCAGGTACTACGCCCAAGTTGGAATTCCCCGCAACGAGACCCGAGTTGGAATTCCCCAGGACGAGGCATTGTTTTGGAGTTATACCACATGCTTTTGTTTGTGTCAGCGTGTGCGTAGGTATGTATCTTTTTTCTCATAACACCATCGCAGAGATACGAATGATACAATGATGTATTTCATTGTCCGCATGATTTTTTTTATACAGGATACGCAAAAGATCCTGAAATTGACCTTAGTTTATAAACAGGTTATAAACAGGGCCCCGTCTTATAATGAGTTGCGATGTATCTAAATCAATCGCAAGTTTACAGTCTCCTCTCTCTTACGTACATATATGTAGTTGCGATATAATATATATCAATCCCTGGCTTTATAGCTCTAATGTAACTCCCAATAAGGCACTAATACAGAATTGATTATGGTAGCATAATGATGGTGGCCTGTGCATAGGACCACTGGGTATCACCCCAAAACATTTGAGATGAACATCTTATTTTTTCTTTTAAGTGCAACTCCCCTAAAAAAAACTATATATATAAACAAATGCAACACAAACTATTTTAAACAAATGGGGGAAGGAACAAACGACAATACCAGCAGGGGCGGATCCACGTAGCGAATTTTCCGGCCCGGCCCCCCCTAGCCCCCAAAACGATAAAAAAAAATAGGATAATAACGTAAAGTTAACCTTTTTTAAAACACAAAACAAAAGCGCCCCCCCCAAAAAAATAATATTAATTGATTCACCGACCGGCTGAGTCGGTGCTAAATTTTTCCTCAAAAACTCTATCAAAAAAGGAAAGAAGAAAGGTGCTTCCCCCCGGCTTATTCGCCGGCCGGCTGAGTCGACGCTAAATTTTGTATTAAGATTTGGCTCCCCCCCCTCCCCCTTGTCGCCGGCTGGATCCTCTGTAGGCGCGGATTTTTAAAAAAAATTATTAAAACAAAAAAAATTCTCACGAAGAAGGCCAAAAAACCAAAAAAGTGGTCGTACCCACCCCCCTCCCCCCCCCCCCGCTTATTTACTGGCTTGCTGAGTCGGGTTAAAATATTTCCTGAAAAATTGGACAAAAAAGTGCCTCCTAAACCCACCCCCTCCCCCCGCTTTTTCACCGTTGGTTGAGTCGCAACTAATATTTTCTCACGGATTGGCCCCCCCCCCTCTTCCCGCCGGCTGGATCCGCCACTGACTTCCAGTATCATGATGTGTTGGTGGGGTAAACTATGTTGTGTGTCTCTTTGTTTTGTAAAGAAAAGAGAATAAAACAATAGAAATATCTCTTTTCGTCTTTTCGTGGATGTTTATGAAACAAAATCTTCTTGAATAAGTGCACGTTATGAACAGTATGATTAAAAAAAAATCCTTCATCTCTTTTTTTATAAAAATAATTTGGTCAATTGTAGCACTAACTTAAAGATTTACTAAACAAGTATTAAAGCAGAATTCTGTAGGTCATTTCATATACAGCCACTTTCCTTTTTTAATTAAAAAAAAAAATAGAATTACGTGCCGGAAAAGCTTAACAATATAGAAACATATAAGGACTTCAGAAGTAATTTCAAAATGTACTTATTTAGAACTTTGTAAAATCTCACAATTACGAGCCCAGTGGACAATTACCACTCCTTCTGTATTCTGTTCTGTAAAGTGCAGTCGCTCTACATACACGTTTAATTATTATTATTGACGTGTACATAAATACAGTCTAATTCGACACATATACATATTTCTTAAGCATTGTACTCTTAAAGAAAAAGTTAAGTTCTGGTCATGCGTTTGCACTGTGAAAGAAACGTTGTGGAATCGATCAGAAAATGTTGTTCTGGTAGCATATAAGTATTGATGTGTAAATGATTAGAAATTTGGTAATGTCTTGGTTAAAGTAACACTGTACACAGGATGATGTATATGGGACTACAAAAACATATGGCATAAAAATGAGGTCCTCATTTTAAAGCTGTTACGTATCATATCTAGAATATGAAGGCATTTGAAGAGCCATGCTTTTCAGGGAATATTTTTTTCTCCTGATGTTCTTCCACACTTGCATGATAACAATGAAAACGCTCACAGATTATTTTCCACCTACTCAACATTCCCTTTCATGTAATTTGTTATAACCTTTTAAAGGCAATTGATAATGTTGCAAAGTGAAATGATATTGAAAAAATATGATTGATGGCAATTTAGCCTCTGGCTTCAAATCATTGTCAAAATAAAATAATTATTGTGTTGAATTTAATTAAACATATGCTCTGATTACATTCGTTACATCTATATGGCCTTTTCTTTAGTTGCAGATAGGGTTACGTTCTTTTATTTATTTAATCGAAAGTTTACAGTCTCCTATAGTTGCGATTAATATAAACTCTTTATAAAACGGGGCCCCGAGGTCCTTAAAACGAGTTTCCACTATTATACTGGCACAGAGTTATACTTCTATATTAACAATTTGTGTTGTCTACATTCGAGTTGTCAAAACATGTTATCTCTTTTGGCGGTATTTGAAACATTGATTCTTCAATTTCATAGACCAAAAAGGAAATCATCTATATATCTTATTAATATATTGTGTCAATGTATAATATGCGCATGAAATGGTCCAATTAGTCATTACATTAAAAGTCACATCCTGATCTTGATTTGTTGATTGTAATTATTAAGCAAAAATCGTCATTACAAGCAACAAATCAAGTTCGTAAACCAGTTAAAAGAGTTTGATAATAAAACAAGGTACACGTTTTTATATGAAATTATAAGCAAACCTTCATTTTTATGATTATTTGTTCACTCCGCATCATGCTAACTTAAATAAATGTCATGATGTTGATGTCTTGATTTCTAAGAAATCTTTCTTCAAACTATCAACTACTCAAAGCAGAAATAAATGAACGGTGTCAATTACAATTATATTTACCATAAGGTTAGTTCTTTTCAAACAGAGCTTTGTCAATGACATAACTACCAATTCTAGAATATGATGAACCATTTCCCTTGACTTAAACTGCAGTACATTTTTATAAAACACATTAATAGCTCTTGATAACAACTTTTGAAATTCTGTGGTATAGGATAGAACAGATATATGGTACAAATAAACATGGTAGAGGTAAAATCACCGAATTCACGAGTTGAGACATACACCTTAGCCAAGTAAAAATTCTAAATAAAATACTATCTTTATCCGCGTCCTGTAGTGAATACGGCCCCAGTATCACATGCGTTGCCAGTGTTGCGTTTAAACACCCATTTATATTCAAAACATGAATCATCTTTCATTTTGACTCGCAAAACTTTGCTCAAGACTAGTCGAGACACTGTTGGATTGAAAAATTGCCATGAATTGATAAATTGATCTTTCCAATCCTTTAAATTTCACTGTTACAGTACGATGTTTTAATGTATGATAATAATAATATTGGCTTTCTTTCGTGGTGTATCAGTTATATTGCATTCAGCTAGCATGAATATTGCACTCATCTTCGACTCGTACAATCAATCTGATATACCACTCAAGGGCAGCCAATGTTATATAATTATAAGGCTATATCAATTTAGATTTAGAGAGGATACCAACATATTAAGCGCATTCCAATCCAAAGACTTATTTAATTGTAACACCATATACTTGGCATCCCTTCGCTTTTTAAATCCTGGTGCGGCCTTTGTTGTCTGTGTCACCGTCTAATTCTCTAATACAGCCTACACTCAAGAAAAAGACACAGCTGGGTATGATTACCTTGTCAAATAATATAATCATTTTTTTTTAAATTATGAAACAATGTTATCTGTATTATTTCTGCATGTGAAATGTGAAATCAATAAACTCAACTCAACTCAACTCAACTCAACTCAATGTTTATTCAAATGATCACTACGAAAACAAAAATAAATTTATAAAAAAAATAAAAAATTATACCTTGAAGATAATGGCCTGTACTTGAAAGTTTTCCCCTTTTTTCTATTTTAACGGAGGTGTATAGGTGCAGTCTAAAAGCGAAAAAGTAAATAGATTTGCCACTGTTTTCATTTTACGATGTACATGTTGACTGAGACACAACACAATGTCCTGTGGAAACTTAACATGTCATAAACCATTCCTAATTTATGTTCATGTATCTATGCACTACAAGTGAAACACTGTCATTATAACGCATTCACTATGAATCAACTCTTCAGTGTTAGAATTTTATACACGTATTGTAATCAATGTCATTACATTACCGTTGTTCTGTCTAGAATTGAAATGTGTTCCCCTTTTACATCATCATGATCATCATTAGTAGTAGTAGTAACCTTTCACTTCTCTGATTATTTATATAAACTGGTATTCTCTGGGTAAACCCTTTTCATTCATTAGTCTACAAACAGTTACGTAGCGTCACTATATAGCCACCGCCGATTGGTACCCCAACAAATACCTTGTTTAAAGGGGCTTGTTAATCGACTTAGGAGAAACCTTTTGGAGAGCCTGTCCTGCGGTTCCACCACTGGTTGATGGAACACAGCCATGCTGTGGTCTAGATGGTGCAGATGGTACCAAAAGTTTATTCCAGAGCTTTAAGTGTTCTACACCAATGTCAGTCTTGAGAAGGTTCAACACCGTGTCGACAGTTTTAACGTAGGACTTGAGGTCTTCGCCATCTAGCTCCTCTAAAGTCTTACTTTCCAACTTCGGAACAGCAATCGCCAGACTCTGTTTAAAATGTTTCCCCTTTTCTTTGAACCGAGCAACATCTGATTCCAAATTCTTTGTTGATTTAGTCAATGATTGCAAGCGGAAAGTTATGTTTTTGTTGAGTTGTGCTAATTCAGCCTTAAACTCGTCTTCAATTGATTGCTTTGCATTGTTATGATGAATAATCAACTTAGATACCCCCTGATCAGCTTCAAGAAGATTGTTCTCCAAGGTCTTTAATTGAACCTGATATCGCTGTTTGGCATCTTTAGTCATTTGACTGAGCTCTCCCAGAAATTCGTTTCTTGTCTTGGTTACATGATGGGTGTGTTTTTCTTGGAAACACTTAAAGCATATGAAGACCAGGCAGGTGCTGCAATAAATGTCTCTGCGCTCTTGGTTATGCGTTTTGCATGTGGGAGTTCTTTTGGGTCTTTTACCCGAAGGCCCTGGCTCTTCACTCAAGTCCTGATGTAAGAGCTTTCTGATGGGTAGGTTTCGACTAAATCCATTCACTCGACTCTCTCGTAGTTTGGTCTTTCTACTGCAAGTGGGACAACAAATAGATGTTTTCAATGGCGACCCTAGCTGACTTTCATCAAGAATATCCAGGCATTTCTTGCAGAACACATGCCCACATACGAGATTGCGGGGATCATCGAAGGTGTCGGAGCAGATAGTGCACATGAGATGTTCAGCCATATCTGGATATAATGTCAGCTTGCGTTTCCTCTCCATGTCTGTCTCACTTTTTGTAACTTAAGTCCTGAATGAAAAATAATAGAGAAAGAGAATCGAAATTCTATTGTGTTCATATTCATGTTTACGAAATATCACGAGTGAGAATAATGGTGTATTTCGGATTGACAGTGAATTCACATTGCGTAAAATAGTGTATAAAATACGTGATCCATATATGTGTGTTTCCACTTTGCATTTGAACACTACTTTTAGACAAATATCAATAGTAATGGTACCCACTATATCTAGATGTATTACATTTTCTCCCTTAAAACTTCACCGTATGATTACGAAAAATATCCATAACCTTTTCTGATTTTTTCTCTAACTGTTTCGAACCGATCCCTTTTTCTTTTCTATTTTAAAGTTAATAACTATTGTCAACCTAAAGTTCCTGCCTGAATATCAAACGTTGATACCACATTAAGATTAAATCCATTTTTTATGTGCGTTGCATTTGGTTTTAAGCAAAATTGAGTCTCATTCCAAAACTTCACACTTATGCTTAAAGACAAAGTTGAGTTCTGGTCATGCAATTGCATTGTGAAAAAACGATGTGGAATCGATCAGAAAAGGTAAAACATCCAGCATATAAGTATTGGTGTGTACTGCAAGGTTCTGGAATCATCAAAACAATAAGAAACTTGGTCCAGTCTTGGTAAAGTTACAAACACTGTACACAGAAAGATGTATATGGGACTACACGAACATGTTATATTAAAAATATGTCCCGATTTTTATGTTGTTACATGCCATATTTAGAATATGAAGGAATTTGAAGAGCCATGCTTTTTAGGCAACATTTTTTATCAGATGTTCTTCCACATTTGCATAATAACAATGATAACGCTCACAAATTGTCACCTCTTCCCAGAACTCAACCTTAAAGAGTAGGTTGAGTTGGGCAATAATGAGGACCCCCTTTTTATGCCACATGTTTATGTAGTTCCATATACATCTTTCTGTGTACAGTTCTTATTACATCTAATAGACTGGGCCATATTTCTTATCATTTTGATTATTCCAGAATCTGCATTACACACCAATACTTATATGTTACATGATAAAGTTTTCCTGATCGATTCCACACCGTTTCTTTCACAATGCAATCGCATTAGCAGAACTGAACTTTATCTTTAAACATAAATTATAATGTACATAATCAAATTTTCTCAACTGCTACCAAACAGTTTCTTCACTATGTATTCACATGATCAGTTGCTATACTAAGCTTTACATTTGACAAGGAAAATGATATCACTTACCGGAGATGAGTTCGTGATAGGTCTGCTGTTCACCAAAAGATGTTCGTTGGGCTTAATCTGAGCAACGTACCGTACGTACCGACATATTTCATGCATTCGAAATTAGGCTACCGCTCTAATAGCAGCCTGTAAAAAGATGGTGTTGTGCTTTTCTAACGCGTCATCACAGTCTATTGATTTTTCATAAATAACAGTAACTCATAGTTCACCCACAGGTACAGCGCCCGAGTTGGAATTCCCCAGAACGAGGCTCGAGTTGGAATTCCCCAGGACGAGGCATTGTTGTGCGGAATACCAACTCCGCTATTGTGTGTGTGTGTGTGTGTGTGTGCCAGGGGCGGCCGAGCGACTTTCAAAGTGGGGGGCACCAACAAAAAAGGGCACTTTCTGGAAAAAAGGGCACCTACAGTGGGAAATCTCAAAGCGAAAATATACAATTTTTAGACATTGGTATATACCCCTACATTGTGATTACATTATCAGGGATGATTTCAATATTGTTTCTCTTCATACATCATACAAAATATCGCTTAAGCATCAAACTTTACAGTTGAGTGTGATGTCTGAATATGCATTTACGAGCGAGCGAAGCGAGCGAGAAATTTTTTAAAGATCTGTGAGGTCGCAGTGCGAAACATTACATCTTATAAAGAGAAAAAAAGCCAATCTTGATGGGGTTATAAGCACATTCTCATAAGGGAAGACTGAAAAGACCTTTGATAAGTAACATAATTATATAATCTTTAAATGCGAGCGAGCGCAGCGAGCGAACTTTGGGGAAAACTGCTCTTAGTCTCTTTAAATAAGGGGCACGTTTAATGATTACATGAAAAGGGGACAATTATCGAAAGGGATAAGACACTTATTAGAAAAGAAAAGGAAAGGAGCACGTGTATAAGTACAAAGGATAATTATAAGAGGTGAAAATGAGGCATTTTTTCACTTGAAAAGAGGCACTCACCAGTGATGAAAAGGAGGCGTTTACGAGAATGGGAAATAGGCATTTGTTGACGGAAAAGGGGCACCCATCAGATTTTAATAGGATCATTTATAAGAGGTGAAAAGGGGATAGGTCCCTTATTAGAAAGGAAAAGGGGCACGTATCATTATTAAAAGGGGAATTATCAGAGTTGCAAAGGGGCACTGACCAGATATGAAAAGGGGCACTTATGAAAATGTAAAAGGGGCAATTATAATAAAGGAAAATGTGCATTTGTTGAATGAAAAGGGGGCACCGATCAGATGTTTAAAAGGGGCAGTTATGAGAAGGGGAAGGGGAAGTTATGAGAAGGGGAAGGAGCTCTTTCTTTTTAATGGGGGCACTTATCATAAGGAAAAGGGGCACTTATTAGAAAGGTAAAGGGGAAGTTATGAGAAGGGGAAGGAGCTCTTTCTTTTTAATGGGGGCACTTATCATACGGAAAAAGGGCACTTATTAGAAAATAAGAGGGGCACATGTTAAAATGAAAGGTGCGCTCATCCGAGTTTAAAAAGGGGTAGTTATTAAAAGGAGAAGGGGCACTTCTTACAAAGGAAAAAAGGGGAAGTTGTCAAAGTAAAAAGAGCACCTCTCAGTTTTGAATAGGGCAATCATCAGAGGTGAAGGGGGCACTTATTAAAAGTGAAAAGGGGCACTTCTCGTACCTGAAAAGAGGCACTTACTAGAGATTAAAAAGGGCACTTATTCAAGATAATTTCAAGATTCATGAGAATGGAAAATGAACATTTATTGTAAAGGAAAATGGGAACATGTCGAAGGAAAAGGGGCACGTGTCAAAAATAAAAAGGGCACTCGTCAGAGGTGAAAAGGGGAAAGGGGCACTTTTACTAAGTAATAGGGGCACTTGTCAAAGTAAAAGGGGCACCTTTCCCATGTAAAAGGGGCACTTCTTACAAAATAAAAGGGGCACTTTTCCTATGTAAAAAGGAGCATTTTGGGGGTATCTGAAAAAGTGGGGGGGGGGCACTGTGCCCCCCTGCCCCCCCGGGAGGGCTGCCTCTGATGTGTGCGTGGGTGAGTAGAGGCAGGAATGTTACAATAACGTATTGCAGTGTCTGCATTGGGTATGCGGGCCTCTAGGGCCTTAGAGCATTGAACATCCCTACCCTTTAATGCAAAGTTCCGGGTCCCCCTTGGGCAAGGTGTAGCCCCTGACAGCCTTCCCCGAGACCATAGAAATACTGGGATGATGTCCAGCGGGGGCTAGTTTATCATAAATCCGGGTGGAGGGTACTCGTCAGCTGTAGTAAAAGCAAACCTTCTAATGGAGTCCAGCCATGATGAAAATTGTGCCTGCGGAAGGCAACGGGAACCCACCGCAGTAATATCCTCAGGATGACCCAATATATATGATATGATAGTTGTCAATTAAAATCAAGCCAAAGACGTTAACGGGACTCTAGACACTAGATGCCAGGGTGTCGCGTCCGGCAGGGCCAGCAGTGAGGATGGTCAGGTCGTCAGTCAGCAAAGTTCTCACTCGCGCGTAGGCACTTGGAATGTTAGAACAATGAGAGACGACAAGATAGAAACCATCAAACGTGAGATGCGACGTTATAACATGAACCTGCTTGCTCTTACTGAGGTTAGATGGCTTGACAGTGATGACTTCATGAGTGATGAATTCAGAGTGATATACTCTGGAGGGAAAGCAAGACAACGTGGTGTTGCCCTTCTGCTGGACAAGCATACAGCAAAGAATGTATGTAGGATAGAGGCTGTAAGCGATAGACTGTTAGCAGTCAGAATAAAGGATCACCGGTTGACATCGTTGTGTTGGTTGTGTACATGCCTACAAGTGACTTTGAGGACAAAGATGTGGAGGATATTTACGACATGATCGATGAGGAGCTGGACAAAGGGAAAGGAAATGACTATCGTATTCTTCTCGGTGACTGGAATGCTGTTGTTGGAAGCTCACACAAACATGATGATGCTGTTGAAGAGTGGGGTCTCGGCAGGAAAAACCAACAAGGAAAAACCTACAAAGGCAATCAGATGCGAGGATCACCGCACTATCAGCCTGGTATCACATGCTTCAAAAGTATTACTAAAGGTACTCAACCATCGGATTGAAGCGAGGTCTAGAGATTATATTGGAATTGACCAATTTGGCTTTCGAAAAGGGGTCGGCACTCGAGAAGCAATCGCTGTGATGAGAATACTAAGTGAGAGATGTATACAGCATGATCAGGACCTATATATCTGTTTTGTGGACTACGAAAAGGCATTTGATTGTGCCAATTGGACTAGGTTGATGGAAGTGCTGTCAGCCATTGGTGTTGATTGGAAAGACCGTAGATTGCTTGCATCCTTGTACATGGCTCAGACTGCTAGCGTTCGCGTTGGAGATGGGGTCTCTGAACCAGCCGTCATTGGACGTGGAACACGTCAGGGATGCCTTCTGTCTCCTCTTCTCTTCAATATCTATGCAGAGGCAATGGTAAGAGAAGCTCTGGCAATGTTAGAAGAAGTAGTGATCGTTGGAGGAGTGTTGATTAGGTCTTTACGGTATGCTGATGATCAGGCCACGCTCGCTGTCACTGCCGATGGTCTTCAAAGACAGATGGTTCAGATGGATCAAGTGGTTAGGAGCTATGGCATGAGAATCAACGAGAAGAAAACAAAGGTGATGATGATAAGTAAAGGCAAGACAAAAGAAATAACTATCATGTTAAATGGCAACAGACTAGTGCATGTCAACCACTTCAAGTATCTAGGCAGTGTGCTGACTGAGGATGGCAAGTCTGCCAAAGAGGTCAACTTGGGCTCAGCTCTGGCAAGAGCTGCCTTCTTACAAAGACAAGATATCCTGATGAGCCACAACATTGACCTTAGTTTGAGAAAGCGTCTTGTGAAGACTCTAGTATGGAGTGTACTGTTGTATGGGGCTGAGACGTGGACACTCATTAAAAAGGACATGCAGCGATTGGAGGCGGTCGAAATGTGGTGCTGGCGCAAATTACTAGGTGTGTCTTGGAGGGACAGATTTTCGAATGAAGAGGAGTTGCATCGAGCTCAAGAAAGGCGGGTGCTGATTCAAACGATTAGAGAGAGACAGAAGAAATGGCTTGGACACATAATGCGGCATGATGAGGGCTTGATGCTCAGAGACAGAGTCATAGAAGGACTTATTCATGGTAAGAAGAAGAGGGGAAGACCTCATAAAGGCTTTCTAGACGATGTAATCACACAATGTGGAGCAACAAGGTATGAAACGATGAAACGGTTTACTCAAGACCGAGGAACTTAGAGAGAAACTTGGAGAGACACTTGATATAGAATTTAATATAATAGGTCAATGAACCAGTCATAAACTGACAGATCACTATTGATGATGAGTGTCTGAATACGATACGCAAGAGAGCCTTAAATTGCCTTGGATTGATTCGTTTTAATATTAATCGTGTTATATTAATCAAGGGTCGCGTTCTATCTGATTCGGTCCCGACCTAAAATGACAGGCAGTTTCCACCCGGTAGCTAGGAAAGGGGGGGGGGTGGGGGGAGGGGGTTGGAAGGGTGAGTGTGCGTGCGTGTGTGCGTGTGTGTGTGTGTGTGGTGGAAGTGTGGTCGGGTGGAGTGTGTGTCGCACGATGGGGAGGGGGGGGGGGGTAGCAGTAGTAGTGTGTTTGGTTGGATGGGGTTATTTGTTTTCTGATACAACTGATTTCATTTTTGTGTTCATCAATTGTACAATGTTTGTAATGTAAATGTTTTGAATTATGTCAAGGAAAAAAAAAATGTACCTTATTTCTAAAAATTAATTTGTATTGTTTGGAATCAATAAAAAAACTATTAAAAAAAAAAAGTGTGTGTGTGTGTGTGCGTGTGTGTGTGTGTGCGTGTGTGTGCACTTGTAATGACCGTCAATCGGGGAGGTTCATATGAATACACAACTTCCAACTGTGGAGACACAGCAAACCGTGGAGCTCCACAGTTGCAGAATCATTAAAACGAGATTTAAATCAGCTTTGGGACATCTCAGTAGTACCCCATCAACGTTCGGCTGCGATTTAACTCCATCCCCGGTTTCCCACTTTGGAGTCATAGCTTGCAGCCTGAATATGTGTATTATTTTCCGATCTCAAGAATAATATCAAGTGAAGAGCGCCAGCATGAGGATACACACTGCACAGTCTGTATCTTATTAGATGCAGCGCATGCGCAGTGCTGGTGCAGTGCACCTTGCGACGTGCCTGTTAACGTATATGGACATGTCATGGCGGGATTAGTACAGCCACAACTGGCAAAAGTAAGTAGAACTTGTCTAGATCTAGAAAGTTTACTTTCATTTTTAATCCAGTCTAGGCCCATTAATATTCTATCAACTTTTTAAAGAATTCCTTAGGCCTATAGATCTAGTTCTATTCATGATATTGGGTACAAAAAACTCATACATAGGTCTAGTCTAGATCTAGATCTAAGTCTAATCTAGATCTAAGTAAGATGTAGATCTAGATTCTAGGCCTAACGTTAGGCCTAGACCTAGACTAGTACTACTAGTCTAGGCTACTAGTAGTAGATCTAGGTCTAGTATAAGTTCTTCATAGGCCTAACTTTAGAGTTAAACTAAAGGAATATCTAGTAACGTTAGATTTGAAGGTCTATTTCACATCAGCCAGATTTAGCCTAAATGTGTGCATGGGAAATGTGGAGCCATAGGTCTAGGCCTATCTGTAAATAACTCACATGGGTCAGATGTGTATAAATGTGTGCATGGGAAATGTGGAGCCATAATAATCTGGGTCAGATGTGTATAAATGTGTGCACGGGAAATGTGGAGCCATAACTAGATATAGATCTACATGGGCAATATGTGTTTAAATGTGTGCATGGGAAATGTGGAGCCATAGATCTATATATATATATATATATTACACATGGGCCAGATATGTATAAATGTGTGCATGGAAAATGTGGAGCCATGTTTAACTGAACTATTTAAGGTGGATTGAAGATTTATAAATGTGTGCATGGGAACTGTGGAGCCATTATACATGGGCCAGATTTGTATAAATGTGTGCATTGGAAATGTGGAGCCATATCTATATATTTTATACATAGGCCAGATGTGTATAAATGTGTGCATGGGAAATGTGGAGCCATATATATATAGATCGACATGGGCAATATGTGTTTAAATGTGTGCATGGGAAATGTGGAGCCATATATATATAGGTCTATATTACACATGGGCCAGATGTGTATAAATGTGTGCATGGGAAATGTGGAGCCATATATATATATAAATATATATATATTACACATGGGCCAGATGTGTATAAATGTGTGCATGGGAAATGTGGAGCCATATATATATATAATGGGCCAGACGTGTATAAATGTGTGCATGGGAAATGTGGAGCCATATCTATATATATATATATATATATTACACATGACCCAGATATGTATAAATGTGTGCATGGAAAATGTGGAGCCATGTTTAACTGAACTATTTAAGGTGGATTGAAGACTTATAAATGTGTGCATGGGAACTGTGGAGCCATTATACATGGGCCAGATTTGTATAACTGTGTGCATGGGAAATGTGGAGCCATATATATATATATATATATATATATGGGCCAGACGTGTATAAATGTGTGCATGGGAAATGTGGAGCCATATCTATATATATATATATTACACATGACCCAGATATGTATAAATGTGTGCATGGAAAATGTGGAACCATGTTTATCTGAACTATTTAAGGTGGATTGAAGATGTATAAATGTGTGCATGGGAAATGTGGAGCCATATATATATTACACATGGGCCAGATGTTTAAATGTGTGCATGGGAAATGTGGAGCCACATAAATATATTACACATGGGCCAGATGTGTATAAATGTGTGCATGGGAAATGTGGAGCCATATATATATATTACACATGGGCCAGATGTGTATAAATGTGTGCATGGGAAATGTGGAGCCATATATATATATATATATATTACACATAGGCCAGATGTGTATAAATGTGTGCATTTGAAATGTGGAGCCATATATATATATATATATATATATTATACATGGGCCAGATTTGTATAAATGTGTGCATGGGAAATGTGGAGCCATATCTATATATATTATACATGGGCCAGATGTGTATAAATGTGTGCATGGAAAATGTGGAGCCATATATATATATATATTACAAATGGGCCAGATGTGTATAAATGTGTGCATGGGAAATGTGGAGCCATATCTATATATATATTACACATGACCCAGATATGTATAAATGTGTGCATGGAAAATGTGGAGCCATATATTTATTACACATGGGCCAGATGTATAAATGTGTGCATGGGAAATGTGGAGCCACATAAATATATTACACATGGGCCAGATGTGTATAAATGTGTGCATGGGAAATGTGGAGCCATATATATATATTACACATGGGCCAGATGTGTATAAATGTGTGCATGGGAAATGTGGAGCCATATATATATATTACACATGGGCCAGATGTGTATAAATGTGTGCATGGAAAATGTGGAGCCATATATATATATTACGAATGGGCCAGATGTGTATAAATGTGTGCATGGGAAATGTGGAACCATATATATATATTACACATGGGCCAGATGTGTATAAATGTGTGCATGGGAAATGTGGAGCCATATATATATTACACATGGACCAGATGTATAAATGTGTGCATGGGAAATGTGGAGCCATATATATATTACACATGGGCCAGATGTGTATAAATGTGTGCATGGGAAATGTGGAGCCATATATATATATTACACATGGGCCAGATGTGTATAAATGTGTGCATGGGAAATGTGGAGCCATATATATATATATATTACACATAGGCCAGATGTGTATAAATGTGTGCATTTGAAATGTGGAGCCATATATATATATATATATATATATATTATACATGGGCCAGATTTGTATAAATGTGTGCATGGGAAATGTGGAGCCATATCTATATATATTATACATGGGCCAGATGTGTATAAATGTGTGCATGGAAAATGTGGAGCCATATATATATATTACAAATGGGCCAGATGTGTATAAATGTGTGCATGGGAAATGTGGAGCCATATCTATATATATATTACACATGACCCAGATATGTATAAATTTATGCATGGGAAATGTGGAGCCATATATATTACACATGGGCCAGATGTCTATACATTTGTGCATGGGAAATGTGGAGCCATTTATATATTACATATGGGCCAGATGTGTATAAATGGGTGCATGGGAAATGTGGAGCCATGTTTATCTCAACTACTTAAGGTGGATTGAAGATGTATAAATGTGTGCATGGGAAATGTGGAGCCATATCTATATATATTACACATCAGCCAGATATGTATAAATGTGTGCATGGGAAATGTGGAGCCACATTTATTATTGCATATGGGCTAGATATGTATAAATGTGTGCATAGGAAATGTGGAGCAATCTATATCTATTGCAAATGAGTCAAATATGATAAGATGTGTGCATGGGAAATGTGGAGCCATGTATTTACATGACCCCCTTGATGTACATGTACATCATAATGGATGTGTTTCATAATACCTCATGATTTTAACAAATAATATAATAAAATTGAGCATGGATATGAGTAGCAATATTTTGGCAAATTCCAGTATGATAAGGCGGAGGATGTGGGGGGGGGGGGGGGGTGTAATATTTAGATATTTTCTTCCAGCTTGCTCACAGCTGTGTTTCTGCATAATATTACTAATATTTACTTGACTTGTTTCAGAATCGGATTCTCAGAAGTCAAACCAGACAGACAGTTCCAGATATTTTTAGTGAAGTTGATCCTGAAGGATTTACAGTGAAACAGCTGCCTGACAAAGGTGAGTGAGGTTACATACATGTACATGTAGATTGTATTAATAGTGAAAATTCACTGTAGCATAGATATCTAACATTAATATGCTCAATAAAATATTGATTCAGAGCTAGACTATGCAAGGAACGCCTGGTATGGTTCTTTGATCACACCTCATCGCCTATTGTCTGAAAATCACCAGCTCTTCTCAGAGTAACTTTGAAACCCTTCGCAGTTAAACAGGTCAACTTCTTTAGTAAAATCTATACCCTTTCTGTATATTTCATTAATTTCATGCAGTAGAATATTTGATATGCTTTCCCTCATATTTTTCTGTTTTTATAATCTTAATTCAACACTTAATTGCGTGAAGCAGTCTTCAGTGGCAAAGTGTTGAAAATAGAATCAATTACCACTACTGCATTTTCGTCTACAAAATACTCAATAATCTAGCCCCTTATTTAGAATCTTTTGGTCATAATCGTCCAGTTTACTTTGTTACTTGTCATTCTTCCTTAAATCCCTTATTTATCCTGAAACCAAAGACTGAATTTAAAAAACGTTCTTTTTCTTTCACTGCTCCAAGCATCTATAACAATCTACCGACTCATATTCGCACGGCAACTTCACTCCAAATGTTAAAAAACCAAATTAAGTCACTCCCTCTATCACTTTAATGCATGCACTGGTACCTAATGTTATATCATGACTTTTACCATAAGTTAGTTTTGTTTGTTTGTCTGTTTGCAGTTGTGTAGTCTATTTTTACGGCATGTGTATTTTTTAAAATATTTTTTTGGTCATTTTTCTTTGTATCAATAATATCTTAAATATTTAATATTTAAGGCCTTTTGTTCATTTTGATCTAGTTTTTATTTTTTTAAAGCTTTTTTTTTAATGTTTTCTACAATGTATTCTATTTTTTTGTAAATATTTGTATGTACAGGGCTCTTTTGTAAAGCAGGAGGTATTAAACTTGATTTGGTTAAGTGTTTAAAGGTTAGACCTTGAAATGAATTTTAATGCCTCCTCATGGGGTTGAATGTCAAAAAGTTTTTAGAAAATCTAGAGAAAACGTCATGTTCATCATGACATGCATGACACTGTAATTTAATATCTGCAGCATACTAATATTAAATACAGTGTGTTGCTTAAAAGTCTGCTTGATGGCAATGTGACCAAAAAGACACACAAATGTTATTTAAAACTCAACCAATTTTGAAAATAAGTGCCTTCTTACAAGTACGAGTCCGAGTTACTTATCACACCTGAGCATTATCTTAAATGACAGACAAATATACTTGTAACATCATATTCACAATGTTTAAACTCGCATGATTGATCTCATGAAGATTATGTATTTCTTCAATCACAGGTAGAGCAGTCTTTACCACCAAAACGTTTGAAGAGGGAGAATTCCTTTTGTGGTACAGAGGAGATCTGGTAACCAGAGATGTGGGGGAAAGAAGAGATGCAGACTGTGAAACTTGCTTCAGATACTTTTTCACATGGAAAGGGACGAAATGGTGGTAAGTCTACATACTATGACGACTTGATTTATTGAAAAGTATATTTTGTAATGATAGGTGTTGAAAACAAACCTAAGGCTATATGCTTATGACGTAGTCGTAAACATGTGGGTTGACAGGGCAACATATTTTCTACCAGTGGTTTTTGTTTTTTCCCTAGAGAAAGATCGAAAGCTAGTCATGTCTGTCAAATTCTATTCCGTGCTTTTGAATAAACCCGTGGACTGACCACATACAGTACACATACAGTTTTCTGCAGAAAGTATCAATACGGCAAGGACAGCATAGAACAAATATGCAACTTATATTCTTCTCTATCTATTCAAACCTGTTTTAGCTATCATACAAAAAACACAATCTTACCAATGACAATTATTCTACCTTGTCAGTCCAACAGATCATATTCCATTTTGGAGAGCATAAAATGAGAATATAAAACAATATTTGGTACAAATATTGGATATAAAAGAAAGGTGCATTACACTGAAAAGTCCATGTTTTTTTTTTGTACACTCCACATTTCATCTTACAGATGAAACAGATTCGGAAATTTCTATGCAACTTGCACCACCTCCCTCTCCCTCCAGTGAAGTTTTAAATGATGAAACAGATTCGGAAATTTCTACGCAGCTTGCACCACCTCCCTCTCCCTCCAGTGAAGTTTTAAATGATGCTGGTTCATCAGTTCCCTGCAATATGTCATCGGAAGACTCTTTTTCTACTCCCCCTTTCTTCTACACCTCATCTTCACTTCAGTCTGATATTACTTCATCTGTTCATTCATTACTTCCCCTAACACCTCCCCGCACCCCCCAATCAACCCCTCACACAACCCCTCCCTCAACCCCTCGCCTAACCCCTCTCCCAACCCCTCTCCCAACCCCTCCCTCAACCCCTCTCCTAACCCCTCGCTCATCAACTCCTCATTCAACTTCTTCATCTGCTTTGTCTCCTCCTCTCCCTTCCCATCCTCCTAATTCATTTCTTTCAATGTCTGTTGTCCAGCGTCATCCTCGCATTGTAGCTGGATTTCTCATTTCGCTACTCCTGCTTGTTGTCTTTATACATCTTCTGCTTTTAATTTCTGTTATCCTTCTTTGTTAAATGTTCATCATTCATTTTGTAATTTCCCAAATTTCCTCTTCTTTATAATCTGGGAAGATGATCTGAGATGGGCCAACATATGTCAAATGGTAAGATTTATTGAAAAATCATTTGAAAACTTGAGAACAAAAATCATACAGTTGGTAAACATAATCTTCATTGAGGATGTAGTTTTCAATGCACAATTCAAACCCTGCATTGGATTTCCTGCTTTCTTTGCTCATTCTAAAATAATATAACACTGCATACATGTTTGGTCCGTTTGATATGAATTCAGGTTTGTGCTAGTAGCCACTTTTTATATTGTATTCTTTATTTGCTTTTTGGAGCTACGTTCCACTTTTAAAGATTAGATAGATTATTTTCTTCTTTCCCCCCTCATTCTACACGTCTGTTCTTGTTTATCATAATGCTTTTTTTCCTTTTTCCCATGCTATTTTTTAATCTTTCCTCATCTCTCCCTCCCTTCTTCTCCTTGGACTCATCTTTCTTCTCCGCATGTTCCTTCTCCCCTGCCGAAGCCTTCTTCCATCTCTCCCACCCGGTGTAAACATCTTGTGGATAGATATGTCCGAAATTGTACATTTTCCCTTTAGTCTGTTGCCTCTCCTTGCCCTTTCCCCAATTTGATCGCTTCTCTCTCTTTTTTGTTATTTTTGTTATACCATGTAATGTCTTTGGCTCTCGTATTTCAGAGGGTCTTGAGAGGATATATTTTGTTCGCAATGCTGTTGCCCGTGGCTTGTAGGGCGTGTCGTTATTCGACCTTTGTGTTTTTTTTGTTTGTTTTTGTTATTTGTATTTATATTGAAAAAATCTTCCACGGTTAGTTCGTCGTCTTTTTTCGCCTCGGTACTCTTGTCTGATGCACGGTGACATTTTGTAGCATTACAATTTTAAGGCAAATGAAAAGTAAACATATGCATGTTTAATGTTCATGATATTGGTTATGATTTCCAATGCCTACATGTAATGTTACCTATTTGTTTCCTATGTTACTTGTATTTCAAATTTCCTCCTAAAATTAACCATGCGTTAACAAAAATCATGACTGTAACGATTCTTCTTTGAGTGATACCCTAGCTACTTGAAAAGTAACAGTTAATCAAATAATATCTGACAACAGAGAAAACCTAAAGTGAAATCACAAATTGTAACCCACATATACTTGTATGTTTCAGTGATTCATTGTAATTTTAAACATTGATGAATCTAATGTTTTCATTTTTTTTCAATTTCATTTCCAGTAGGGATGCATCAGTCGAACCAACTAAACAACAACTGGGACGACTCGTCAACCATGGTTGGAGGGGTGAAGTCAACAGCAGAATGAAGATTAGAGAGAACCCTCACAATGAACCAGAACTGGTTCTCTTCTCATTGAAGAAAATCAAAGAAGGTGAAGAAGTGTTATATGATTATGGGGTGGGAGATAATTTTGTATTCCCAAGTCCTACTCAATTACACAGTGGAGTCCAAGATGAAAAACCTGAAATTCTGCAAAATTCTGCAAACCTCCCACCAGACCCAGAAAAAGTTTGTTCACCATTCTCCGAGCCTGCCACACAAGAACTACTGGAACCAGATGGAAACTTTTCACAGTCCAATGTTCGAGCTGATGATGATGAAACATCTGAAGATCGATGCAGAAACCCCCCTAATAACGAAACAAATTGGGAACCATCCCCTAAGCCTGCCACACAAGCTTTAATGGAATCAGATGGTAAGATTTCACAGTTCAGTGTTTCAGCTGATAATGATGACACATGTGATGATCCATGCCGGAACCCCTCTAATAACCAAGAACATTGGGAACCATCCCCTGAGCCTGCCACACAAGCGTTAATGGAATCAGATGGAAAGCTCTCCCAGTTTGATGTTCCAGTTGATAATGATGACACATGTGATGATCCATGCATAAACCCCCCTAATAACCAAGTGCATTGGGAATCATTTACTGAGCTTGCCACACAACCTTTAATAGAACCAGATGGAAACCGTCCACTCTCCAATGTTCTAACTGATGATGCTGAAACATCTGATGATCTATGCAGAAACCCCCCTAATAACGAAACAAATTGGGAACCATCCCCTGAGCCTGCCACACAAGCTTTAATGGAATCAGATGGAAAGATTTCACAGTTTAATGTTTCAGCTGATAATGATGACACATGTGATGATCCATGCATAAACCCACCTAATAACCAAGTGCATTGGGAACCATTTACTGAGCTTGCCACACAACCTTTAATGGAACCAGATGGAAACCTTTCACTGTCCAATTTTCTTGCTGATAATGATGACACATCTGATGATCTATGCAGAAACCCCCCTAATAACCGAGAGCACTGGGAACCATTCCCTGAGCCTGCCACACCAGCATTGATGGTACCAGATGGAACCCTTTCACAAAATATTTTTTCAAGTGATAATGAGGACATATTATCTGACCATAATGATGATAGTGATGATGATCCAGACTATGTCTGTGATTCTCAAGGAGATTCTGACTCTTCAGGGAAGACTTCATTAAATAATTCTCAAGCATCATTGCCTAAGGCTAAATGTACATCAATAAATGGCATCACTCGATCACTGAAATCTCTGTCATCAGATCAGTCATTGGAGGCATCATCAAGATATGGAGGCATTGATGCTGACCATGAGGGGATAACTGTGATGAAGACCAACAATCAAGGAGGGCGAAAATATGACAAGGTAGCTTATTGCATGATGTGTGAGAAGCCCCACAAAAAACTTCCTGATCACCTGCGGTCACAACATTCCAATGAAATAAAGGTGGCTCAATACATGGCAGCAACGAATCGAAAAGAAAAGGATAAGCTATTGACATTGATAAGAAATAAAGGAAATCACATGCACAACTACAGGGTCTTCGAAAAGGGTCATGGAGAGCTTGTGGTCGTATATAGACCTTCTTGTGAAGCAAAGCCCCGTGATTATCAGCCTTGCAAAGATTGTTTGGGATGGTTTGCGAAAGCCGAATTGTGGAAACACCGCTGCATTTTGAAGCAAGAAGAGCCGGCTAAGGAGCAAAAGAAAAAACGAAGAAGACTATTAGCACAAGGTCGACTCTTGCTTCCACCAGTGCCCTGCACATCAAGAGATTCTATAACACACAAAGTACTGAGTGGTCTCAGCGATGATGAAATCAAGGCCTGCATTCTAAATGATCAGTTGATTCTAGAATTGGCCAAGGTGTACTCTAAGAAATTGGGCCATGACGAAGAACAGCACAACCACATCAGATGCAAGTTACGAGAACTAGGAAGACTTGTACTTCAGTTCAGACGTTGCAGCTGCAATGGCAAGGCAAGTCTGACTTCCCTGATATCACCAAATGGTTTTATGACTGTCTTGAGTGCTGTCAAGAAAGTGGCAGGCTTTGATGAGGAGAACCACTTGTTCAATACACCAAGTCTAGCACTTAAGCTGGGACATACCTTAAGAAAGGCTGCCTTTGTGCTCCTGAGTAAGGCTTTGATGGACAGAGATGGGGATGACATGCAGAAACTTGTAGAAAAGTTCATCAAGCTGCTGGACACTTGTTGGGGATCTGAAATCTCTACTCATGCTCTACGAACTTTGTACCAGAGGAAACGAAACCAGCCCAAACTCCTACCCCTAACGAGTGATGTTGTGGCTTTGTCAAGACACCTAGAGGTACAGGCTGAACTTTGTGTAGACAAACTGTCATCTGGGACCGCAATCGAAAACCATAGCACATGGAGAGAACTCAACAAGACCATGCTGGCTCATCTCATTGTGTTTAATAGGAGGAGACAAGGGGAAATCAGCAAGATGACTCTTGATGACTACAATAAAATCAAGAAAGGTGAATCTCATATGGTGGAAGGACAACTAGAGATGCTGAAAGACTGGGAAAAAAATCTTGTAAAGTTTCTCTGGAGAGTTGAGGTAGTAGGAAAACGTGGCAGGACAGTGCCGATCCTTGTGACAGACTCCATGAAATCATGTGTAGACACCCTTGTATCCCACAGGGAGGAAGCAGGTGTAAACCCAAGCAACAAATACCTGTTCGCCGTAGCCAATAGTGACACTACATCTCATGTTCGAGGGTCAGATGCTCTCCGTGAGCTGTCAGAAGCATGTGGAGCACAAAATCCTTCAACACTTCGATCCACAAAATTACGGAAGCATGTAGCTACCATGTCACAACTAATGAGCTTGAGGGACCATGAGATGGACGCCTTAGCAAACTTCATGGGCCACGATATTAGGATACATAGGGAGTATTATAGACTGCCAGATGCTGCTATGCAGGTGGCCAAAATATCAAAGATCCTGTTCGCCATGGAGGGAAAAGCTGGGAACCCGGTCCAGCTGATTGGCACTGCAAAAAGTCTGGATGAGCTTCAAATCAAGTTAGATGAAGGTAAATTTGTGATGAGGGTAGAATTATACAGTGGGGATCTCAATCCAAACCCTAATGAGATGAGAAACATCATGGCGAGGGATGAGCCGGTGGGGTCACTCCCCTGCAAAGAGTGACACGTATGACCGTTACCACCAATGCATATAACCCCCTTTTGCGGTCAATTTCAAGGACATGTGAAACTTAATTTTTTACGTCAAAACAAGGACAAAATCGTACTTTGGAATAATTTATAAGATTGTAAGGACACTTTCGCAAATTTACCCCTATTTTACCATATTACAAGGACAAGACTCGGCTCCGAGAATTTTATGACCCCTATTTATCAATTTCGGGGACACCTGTGCAATTTTCTTTATTTCGAGGAATATGTCCGCGGACATGCTTGAAATTGACCCCTTTTCCGCGATTTTGGTAACGGTCATGCGGTAGTCACATTGAGGGGGGATGAGTGGGATGAATAACAAACCATGTAGCATGTACTCATTTTAAGAATCAAGTATTTCTGATTTCCACTCAACTTGACAATTATCAAATACAAAATATGTAAATTGATAAACATGCTGCAACATTATTGAATTAATGAAAAGTGTTGTTTTCAAATGAACCATGCAGTTAAATATTCCTCACTATATTGTTCACTTGTTTGTTTCAATTTATTTAGATTAGGGGTAATTAAGGCATTTGTTTGACTCGATCCACATATGTAGCATATACCTGGTGCCAATTCTACCATGTTGTATTTAGAAATAGTTGATTATATTCTTTTGTTTTAAATTACAAGTATGTTTTCTTTGCAGTTGACCCAGATTTTCTTTTTGGTGAATATTATTGATTATTATTTTATGTACAGAGATCGACACTGGAGAACAGGGACCTGAATCATGTGATGACAATTGTGACAGCGATGTTGATTCTGGTGATCATGATGTCGAACGTCAGCTACCTGGATGCTCCCAAAAAGGTATGACTTTAAGTCCAATGAGAGCATCTAAAAAAATTCTTTTTGCAAACCTAAATGTTAATTTTGCCTATTGTACCGCACTCTCAATCATCCTCAAAAGCCAAAGTGAAACCAAACTTTTTCCTGTTGAAATCACCACGTACCAATATTTGTGCATTTTGAATTGTTACAAATTATAGCACAATTATAATTGTAATGTAGCCTCACAAAAAAAGGCTGTTGCCAATGACGGAGAAAATCTATTAGTGAATTTAATTGGTCTCTATATCTAAACTTCTCTAAACTAAAAAAAAATTGTGTACATACAATAATATAGACTCAGAAAGTATTATGTGATCGTGGCCCTTTTGTTCTAGACTGGGAGTCAGGGGTTGTCAAGGTAATACAAAATGTACTTTTTTTCATGCACACAGCAATCACTACAATATACTAGGAAATGGATGAAAATGGAGGCAGCCAGGAGCCCCTCCCAAATAAACCCAAAACTGAGCTAGATTAGCAAAATAAATGACCAATAGAAACCGGGTAGAATATGTGAAACATAACCCCATCTGTCATGACACTGTCAGATAATTTAAAGACTTGTTTGTGCCCGACTCCCCTAAACGGTAGATGCCCATAATTTCACGAAATATGAGCTTTACAAAATTATATGATGGCTTTCTTCCCGCAAAAAAAAATCGTTTAAGTGTATTCCTCCCAGGATCACACTCTATTCTGCATCACTGCAAAAGAGGATTTAAATATTCTTCCTCTCCTTCCATCCTCATAACAGTAATGCACTCTTCAAGTTCATGGGTCAGAGACTCAGAGAAACAGTATGTGATACTGCATTTATTATTCTGCATAGTATAATTGCAACATTTTTTTGTTATTGTCTTTCATTAGGTACCAAAAGGCAAAGGCAAACGCAACATGTACTGGAAGAGGTTGATGAACAGCCAATAAGGAAGAAACGAAAGACAGCATGGAGCGATGCGGAAAAGTCGGCTGTCCAGAGACGTTTAGGAGCCTTTATGACTGTTCATTCTAAGCTACCTGGCAAGAGAGCGATAGACGAATGCTTGAAAGCTGAAGCTGTGCTGAAACACAGAACGTGGGTCAACATCAAAGACTACGTAAGAAACTCGAAGGTTACCAAAAGCAGAAAAACACAGCCTTGGTAAAAACATTCCCTTTAATATCAAATCACCATTTTTATATTGAATACACACATGCTTTTGTTTTGAGTCACCAAACTGCTGAAAATGCTCATAAATTACAAGGCATGTTCTTGTTATTACAGTCTAAAATGTGTATTCTTTTATATTTGGTTTCTCCATGTATTCATAAAATGTTTACCCACTCTACTGGCAAAGGATTTGTTATTTTGAGGTTTTATTATCATTTTTGTAGGCATCCGGCAATTTGTAATTGTGTTAGGGTCTTATTAGTGGACCTATGCTTGGCCACTCCCAGATATCAATGACAGGGAGCATATCGTTTAGGCAACATGTACTGATTACAATGAGAATTTTGCAGCATGAGTTGGAAATATCCTATTTGAACAAGAAAAAAACCCATAGATTTTTTAACGAAATAAATCAGTGGAAGTTGTAATCAAACAGTCAAGTATTTGCATTTACATACCATAATGGCAGCATAAGAAGGCAGTAGGGGAATTGACTAGTGTAATGCTTGTACAT